CCCCAAAACCCCAAAACCCCAAAACCCCATAAGGAAGTATAATAATAGAGTTACTAAAATTAAATGAATTTCAGTAGTGTCATTGATGAGAATCTTTCTCAAGATATTCTTGATGAAGATGTCATTGCCCCACGGAGGATTAACTCATTGCATTCGGAAGATAAAATATCTTGCTCCCCTTTTCAGAGGAAAAATGATCACTTCAGGAAAGCAACTTCTTGATCAGTTCACAAAAACAGTTCAAACGCCGACAGACAAGCTTTGGAGATTTGTAAAAAGAAAGCAATGGGAGTCAAGAAATTTTCCTCTCAAAATCAATGAAATTTTAAAAGTTTACAAAAAGATATAAGATATCTGCTCCACCAAGCTATGAAGATAAGAAATTTGTATGATGCAGAGTTTGAAAGACGCATTGAGCCTAAGTATAACGACCCACCTCAACAATTACTTATCAAAAGTGAAATAAGAGTTGTCACGATGGCAGATATTCAAAAGCCTGAGTAGGCTATTAAATCATGCTAAGCATAATTAATACCTTAATCATTCACTATCACCTCCTGTTTGAATTTTGAAAATATCCACATTCCTGGAGAATTAATCCTGCAATGTGAAAGAATTTAAGTCACCTAGTACCATACTCTCTAAATAATAATCGAAATCCATGAATCTCTGATCGATTTTACAGGATACTTCAATACAAAACTAGGAATGCAAGGTCTTTTGTTAATCCGTCCTCTTCCATCAGGTCTTAGCCTATCACTGCTAGCTATGACTCCTCCGTTGAGTAATGTTGAACAAGAGTTCTGGATTTATTGAGTATTTGAGGATGGAAATTAGAAAGAAGAGACATGAGCAGTCAGAAGTTAGCCTCGATTCAGATAGATGTTACTACTACGAGAATAGTACATCCTGTAAAATTCAATTCTTGCTGTGCTGCCTTTGAAAACCACTCAGAATTTCTAAAATTATAAAAACTGGCAAACAAGGCTATAATAAAAATGATCAAAATTAATGGAGACTCGTTTTAGTATAAAATAAGTGCTCATAGTAACAGTATATTTAGATAGTTCTAAATAAACTAAGTTTAGAGCTTTCAGTAATCAGTAAAACCTCTGCCATTTTTGAGGTTAACAACAAGAATTATCGAATGTATTTAAATATGAATTTCATGTCCAAGTTCGTCAGTTGGAATTTAGAGTATTTAAATCATTTCCTATGTCATTTGAGACATAAGAATCATATTTAGAAAAATTTATTTGAAGCTGCAAGAATTACAATTATTTGAGTTTCATTGAGAAAGTATACTAGAATAGTAAAGTACCAGGTGGTATTTGAAGATCATCTGAATAATCATATAAAATATTTATTCCATTACTCACTTGCAACTCTGGATCTCTTCTTTTTGTATATCAGTGAAACCTGCCACTCTTGTGATTGGACATATAATATTATTAGTGCATTAAAATTACTACAGCTCAATATATTTTAATATGCTAGGGGTTTTGGGGTTTTGGGGTTTTGGGGTTTTGGGG